TATTCAAATTTTCCCTTTTTCACAAGACCTTCTATTGTAGGCAGAATAACACACTCCCACTCCTTGAAGATGTCCACATCCTAAACTCTGGAACCTACGAATATGTTACCTTACATGTAAGGGAAATTAAGGTTGCAGACAGACTCAGAGTTGATAATCAGCTGACTTATAATAGGAGATTATCTTGGATTACCTGAAAGAGCACAAGGTAATCACAAGGGTCCTTAAAAGTGGAAAAGGAAGGCAAAAGAGATCAGAGTGATAAGATGTGAAAAGGCTTCAACCCACTGTTGCTGGCTTTGACAGTGCAAGAAGGGGGAAATGAGCCAAAATGCATGGGCAGGTTCTAGAAGCTGAAAACAGAAAGGAAACAGATTCTCCCACTGGGCCTCAAAAAGGGAATGCAATCCTGCCAACACCTTGATTTTCACTCAGTACAGGACTTCTAACCTACAGAACTATAAGATTATAAATGTGTATTGTTTTAAGCCTTTAAGTGTGTGGTAATTTGTTACAGCAACCATAGAAAAACTAATATATTTTCCTAGAGCACACTTTACCTGTCTTATATACAGTTCCTTATAGAGAATATAATACCTGCCATTGACAACCATACAAGGCTGTGCACAGCAAATGAAAATAAGTACGAAAGAAATATTATTGCTGAAGCTGCCTGCTTTAAAGCACTTTTTCTAGATTTACTTCATTAATTCTTTCAACATGTATTGACGTTGTCAGTGTGCCAGCACAAGGAATACAACTTTGAACAATGAAAATTCTCTGCCCTCAAGAAGGTTACAGGGCATTAGGAAAGACAGAAAAGGTAACAGAAGATCAGAAAGTAATATGATGCATACAATACTAAGCAAACCCAGGTGGTATGGGAGCCCATAGGAGGAGCACCTAACCAAGTGCTAGGGGTTCAGGGAAGGACTCTCAGAGAAAATGATGATTATGTTGACTGAGAACTATTAGATAAGCAAGACTCAAAAGAAGTGTGCACTGAGATGGGAGGGTGGGTGGCACCCCAGACAGAGAAAAACATATGTGCAAAGTCCTAGAAGCAAAAGTGTACAGGTACTTTAGAGGAACAGCAAGTGGTCACTGTGGCTGAACCACAGAGAGTGAGGGATGGAGAAAAATGAAGCAATAGAGGCATGCAAGGCCCAGTCACTCAGGACCATGTAGACCATGTGAAAGATTCTGCACTCTTTCAAGATCAAAAGGGACCCATGGGAGGATTAAAACAAAAGACACAATCCATCTGTTCAGAAAGCGAAAAGTAAATTGAAGGGAGGCAAAATTAAAGAAGAAATCACATGAGATAGGTCTGATCTATGTCAAAACAAAAGCATTCACTCACTCACTCATTCTTTCTTCCATTTCAACTAATACTTTTTTAGAGTCTACTATGGGCCTGTGTTAGGCTCTGAAACTAAGAATAATCCCTAGCCTCATGGAGCTTATAGTCTTTTGCAGGGAGACACATGTATGTATTAGGAGGAAATGGCAAGACATGGTGACCGATGAGATATGGGAAATGAAGAAAAAGGTGAATCAAAGATGACATCTAATTTCTGCTTTGTACAACTAAGTGGGCGGTAAAGCCATTTTCTGAGATGGGCACATTAAAGACAGAGTATTAAAGTTCAGCTGGAGGTAAACGATGAATTCCATTTTGGATGTTCATTCATTCAAGGGGACATTAATCATTTCATGAGGTTAAGAGTAGGCATCTATGAGATATATCCAGTAGGGCTCTGTATACAGAAATCAGGAACTGAAAAAAAGGATCTCAACAGAAAATGGCCGTGATTTACTCCTCTACCATGAAAGTAATATAGGAATAATTATATAAAAAGTGAATATTCACTCTTATTCAGTATTAAGTATTTACTTAGTACCTACTGTATGAACATGTGAAGAAAACAGACTAAGTGGGTCCTCAAAGAGTTTACATTCCAGCAATTCATGCCACAAATCTATACTCAATATGCCTGCCAGGGCTCTTTCTTGCCAGAAGTTGTAACCTCACTGCTTCCCTCGGGTAATGGCATACTTCTAGCAGGTAAATTATTACAACTAGGCATGATGCTCTAGGAAGGAAATTTTGCTGATCATAAGGACAGAAATGAGGACACCTCACTTCTGATTCCTAGATCCTTTCCATAGTCTGTGTATCATTAGGCTGGATATCAGACATAATATGGCACGAACTGACCTTCCAGGAGGTTTCATTATTTAAAGATGTGTACAGACTTACATCACTCACAGGTGAAAGCAGTCTGAAAAGTTTTATTAGATAACATCAAAAACTTTTCTAATATTTCTATTCTTACATAAGCATTAAGATAAAGGTTCAGAAATTGCATATATCTTGAATTTTAAGCAAACATCTCACAGTTATGGAATGAACATTACACAAAAAGTCTTAAGCTGCAAATGAATGTGTCGCCTTTGTCTTAAATTCTCTCCTTGACCCCAGAGGCCTGGAGATGTGATAAAATTTTGATCTGATAAAAAAAAATGCCAGAGTATTTTGGGCTCTTCTAATAATCATAGAAGCATAGACTTGTAAAAGAAAAAATGGCACAAAACCGAGGTTAAAGTACAAAAAGGAAAACAATGTAGAAATGTAGGCTACCTAGCCCTTACAGTTTTGAGAGTGAAAGTCTCATAGGGCCCCCATATAAGGATAGAAGGTGTTGGACCAAGGAATGTCAGAGAGAAAGTCACATCTTATAAACTGGAAAAAGAGATTTGAGAAAGAGTCAGGGCTATGTTCTCTTCAGTGTAAGGAAAGCTTCTCCCCAGTGCCTGAGAGGAACTGTGGAAAATGTTTTATATAATCTTGCCATGTTGCAGGCTGGAACCAATATGTTCTCAAGGAGTCCACACCGCAGCATCCTGAGTAAACATGCTGGGCTAGGACATATAGCCCCAGAGAAAATGAGATGGTACATGAGGCGCCATGTAGGGAAAACTCCTCTGCTTTTGTACATGAAACATGGAGAAGTAATTCTGGCACAAAGAGAACAGATGGTAGTTAGGGGTTACAGTATTGCACCCCTGCCTTGGGCTATAGACAGATGGTGTGCATGGGTTGGATGGCAGAGTCACTCGGTTTGAGCTAAGGGAGTCTGAATAACAATGAATAATAAGAGAAAATATCTTCATGTGGTTTCATACCCCAGGCGCAGGGATTGGGTCTACCAAGTGAGAGGCCCTGACCATAGGTATTCATCTGATTTTCATAACTCGTAGGTGTGGCCTGGGGCTTCCAATGTCCCAGGCCAGGATACAGATATTCTTTGAAGCACAAGGGTCTATAAAAGCCTGGATAGTTCTCCACCAAGACTGTGAGTGGCACCTATAGGGTAAGGTCAGAAAGGCCAGAAAAGGGTAACTGCAAAAATTGGTTTAGTCACACTCATTCAAAGAGTAATACATTAAATGATGTATATAAAGCATTTAGCTCAGAGTGTGGTCCTTAGTAAGTGCTCAATAAATATTAACTATTGTTATAAACTCACAGAGATATATTCATGTAGCTATACCATTTTGGGGAACATTCCAGATAGTAATCCTGCTTTCCAGACCGAAAGAAGGTCAAGGCTCTTAGGCCCAGGTAGGCAAGGTTAATCCTCATAAATGTCATTTCAGCAGCATTGTAGATATTGCGGGGAAATACCAGGCCAGGAGGCTGCAACCTTAGAATGCCCATTCCTCCCCTATCTAGCCAAAGGTGAGCAAGGCTAGGGTCAGTGAGCAGAGAAAGGGGCATGAGGCATGGCAAAAAGAAGAGGCTAAGGTGAAGCAGCAGTTTTTGGGGGCAAAGACTCCACAGTATGCCCACAAAGCTGCAGGAGGGACCTTTCAACACATCCTCCTGCATGGGATTTTGCCACTCACCTCAACATTCTTGTTCCATCATCGTCAGAAGGACCAGCTGAAACGGAATCCCTCTTTGTCCTTGTTGGGAAAATGGAACAATTTGGTCAGACTCCCCTCGCCTTGGAGCCAGTTTAGGGGCAGTTCGGAAAACACTGTTTGGGTGGAGCAAGTGCGCCTGCAAGGCAGCGCCACTTTGGCTGGTGTTTTACTGCCTTGGGCACCTGCCCTGCGTGGCCATGTTTTTCCAGACCTGCAGCTTCCAAAGACCGTGTGGCTGGTTACCTAGCTTATAGACCTGCCTGAAGGGGTCTGGTGACCCAGCCTGGCGTGTGAAGGGTTTGTGACCCAGTCTGTGAACCAGCTTGAGGGGTTTCGGAGCTCCAGACCCAGCCTTAGCTCAACCATCATCCCAGTGGGTGCAGGATTACCAACAGGTAAAAGAGCCGCGACAACTAGCGTGGTCACCTAGCTTTACAATTAGCGTCATGAAAAGGATTGAGAGCTAAACAACTGGCGCTTTGAGCAGGATTTGAGACATTCGCCTTGCAGTAGCCCTTGCCATAGCCAGACAGTCCTCAATGTCACATCCTGGTTTTTTCTCCTAGCCCTATACCCACATTTTCGTAATTGTTGCCCACTTCCATCAAACTCGTGAAGCCACCTTTTCAGAGATTCAGCCCTCGGCCAGCCTAGTGGCAAAAGGAGTTTGTCTTTCTTGGAGGTATCCTAAAGGGCTAGTTTGGCTCCTGCCTGACACCTACTTACATATCTAGTTCTGTGCTGGCACATTCAACACAAAACACAATTGCCTAATATGATCACGCTTGCTCTTGGCTCTCATTTTGTCTCAAATAGAAAGCACAATATTCAATAATTTGGTTTTACTTAAAATTATACCTTTTTTAAACCATTAGAAAAGTGTCTCCCTTAAAGCCTAGTTATTTTTACCTTGTAGGACTCACAAATTTGCTCACTCTCACAATAATTTTCACAACACTAAACTCTTAAAAACTGAGGTTGCTTGATAGTATGAAAATAGAAATGCTAAATGAAAAAGAATATGTAAATGACAAATAAGTTGACAAAATGAAAACAAGTGGTCCATGTATCAAAGAAAAGCCAAATTTTGAACTGGTTCTCTAAATGGGAAATCATCTGAGTTCTGTCAGATGAAAACCTACCTCTCACCATTGGGTCCCACTCTGTTGATTAATTTTTCCATGGCTTCCTCTGTCTCCTTCAGTTTTTCCTGCAGTTGAGCAAGCTCAAAATTGGCTGAAAAACAAGCATCAATCTAAGAATCATCATACGTAAGTCCCTAATCCCTTCCAAGAAACATGGCTGGCTACGACAATCTACAATAATCCAGGCTGGTTCTGAGACTCAAACAAGAGACTGAGAGTCTCTCCAGTTAAAAAGGGTATGGAAGTCTGGGCACCAAGATTCATAGGATACACATGCAGTGAGTAATGAACAAATCACTCCCTTTTACATGCAGAAATACAACAGGACAAACTTAATACCCAGGAGTGAAAAACATACTCCTACGCAGTCATTGCAAGAAGAAATGCAGAAGATAAATGTACCCTTTGTGATCCAAATGATGCTTGAGGGTAAGGTGCCAAACCTATAAGGTACTTTAGAAAAAGCTAAGACCCTGAAATGAGCAATATTTCACTTATACATAAGATCTGAAAACATATCTGGAAGTTAATAGTTTAAATGTTACACTTCCTCAATAGAGGAAGTCTTGATCAAAGGCTGAGATCTCCATGCACAATGTTTTCTACCCTGCTTATCTAGGGTAAAGAGGGGGTCATGCTAGGATGTAACCTTGTCTCCCAGATATAGTTCTCTCAACTGGGGTCAGTAGTGAACACATATATCTACTGAAACTAACATTAAGACCCTAAAAGAAGAATAGAAAAAATAAATCAATCAATACATGAAATAAACTTTAAGGCAGTAGGAAAAGAAAATACTATTTATTATGCAGATAACCTAGTTTTTCTATTTCATACCTGAGTACTCTTCTACTCAGATATATTTAGAGGGTCAATGCAAAATGTAATAGTTCAGGGCCGGCCCGTGGCTCACTCAGGAGAGTGTGGTGCTGATAACACCAAGGCCACGGGTTCGGATCCCATAAAGGGATGGCCGGTTAGCTCTATGGGTGAGCGTGGTGCTGACAACACCAAGTCAAGGGTTAAGATCCCCTTACCGGTCATCTTTAAAAAAAAAAAAATGTAATAGTTCAAAGACCTTTTAATATTTCTAGAACAAACTCTCACACATGCAGTTAACACCTGTAAAGTGTCTAGAGGACTGTGCTATGTAAGTGCTTGAACTGCTATTACCATTATTATAAAACAGCTGCTCTTACATTTGCTTTACTTTTTTCTGTTTAAAATGCATTGTGACAGTATACAGAATCTGTGACTCTTTAAAGAGTCCACAATTTTTAAAAAATTATTTTACCAATGCACGTACCATCACTATCTCATTTAAGAACAGAGCAGCTTTCTTAAAGAATTCCTTGAATATTTAGGATTTCTAAAAAGGATGCAGAATGTGACTGGGATATCTATTTCCATAGAAAATCCAGGAGTATCTGTTTCCATAGAGAATCCAGAAGGCAGTTATTGCCTAGGGCAGATGCTTTGTGGCTCAGCCTTACTTCATTTTGCTGATGTCTTTCTTTTAAAAACCTCTGATGAGGCTTCGTTATTTGTAGGTCAACTAGCAATCTGGCCTTAACCTACTCTTCAAGATTTTCCCACAGCTGCCCTACACAAAACACCCTCAAGATCTCCACAATCTCAAGACTTCACGCTTGTCTGTGTCTCACTCAATGTACCCTATCTTACAGGTCCTCCTCCATAGCCAGCCAGACAGACATGATTTCCCAAAACACTTTTGCCAAGTCACTTCTTTCTAGGTAGTAAACTTTTCACAGGTTATTTTTCCTGACAGCCATTCTAGTCTATAAATTCTTAACAGGAAAGAGCCATGCTATATATACAAGTATTTTATTTCCCCAGGGAGCACAGAATATATTAGTTGGGCAATAAATATTTGATAACCATGTTTCAAGAGTCAGAGTGTTAAACTCTTTCTCTAGATCTATAACTAATTTTGGCAATGACATGATTTCTCTGCCTCAGTTTTCCTCTCTGTAAAATAAAGATATTTGCTACCAATATTTCGAAGTCTGGAAACAAGAAGTAACCCATCCCAGATGTGGAATATTAATTTGCTAATGTATAAAAAAGTGAACTGGTGGTTTTTTACTTTTTGTAGCTATCCTTCCCTTAAAAGCCCAACATCAATACAGAAACTTTTAAGAATTCTCAGAGCTAAGGTAAAAAATGGCATCAGATTAATCTGGAACAAGTTTTGAGAAATGCTTCTAAGATATACCCACAAATTGTCTCTCTGGCTATATAACAGCTGTCTGACTCAATAACATCTGTGAATATACTGAGAAGGGGCACTTACTAATTTTTCTGTGGGTGTTTCCAGGTATGGCAGTAGAACATTTCCGATCCTCTGTAGTAGTTTTCCCCTTTGAGAGCTGAGAATTGAAGGAGGTACAGCACATCAACAGCAGCTCAGAACCTCAAAGTCATGGAACCCCTCATATTAAATGGAAAAAAAAAAGGTTGGGAGACAAAAATTAAGTCAGAAATCAAATCAAATAGCGACATTAGAGAAACATCACACACACACACAAAATCCACTGAAAGATAAGAAGGTCTCCAAGTAAAAAATTATCAGGGCACAAGGTAAAAAAAAAATCTCCCTATACGTCATCTGCCTGGCCCATGCTCACCTAAAAGGAGATGTGCAGCACCCTAGGGCATTCTTGTACACTCAACTCAGGCTGCCTGCAGAATGTCTAGGCAAGAAGGAACTCATCTCACCTAACCTTACTCTAGTTAGGAAGACAAAGTGAAGCTTCTGCCTCCACTCCACAGTGCATAGGCCCAGGGTCTGCAAAAACCTGCCTGGAGGTGAAACTTAATTGGGGGTCTATTTTTACAGGACCCAAACCATGCCTCCCCAGAGCTAGGAACTATCAGGCTTAGTGTCAGAAACTGACAGTTCTGTCTCAGGAGAATTACTGGAGATGGATGTTAAAAACATCATCTCATATTCCTTTAAGGAAAAAAGGGGGATGAAGTTGTGTGGGTACAGTCATTATTTGGCTTCAGAGTGGCTACTTGGAAATCACTGTACCAATCCTAATAATAAAGCTCTTCTTCGAACATCTTTATGCCTTTTCAGCTAGCAGATATTCTCAAACTATTTATCTATCTATCCATCAATCAATCTATCTATCTATCTATCTATCTATCTATCTATCTATCTATCTATCTATCTCATTTATTTGGCTTTAAATGATATGACTCACTGGATTGGGAATTAGAAGATCCAAGTTCAAGGCCTGTTTCTGCCTTTTTAGTTGCAAATTCAGGGGCAAATCACTTAAACTCTGAGTAAAGATTTCTCATCTGTAAAACTGAAGTAACAGCTATCCTAAGTACCTCACAAAAAGGAAGCAAGGTTTACAAGAGATGATAAATTTGAAAGAGCTTTATGAACTATACAGGATTTTAAGGTAGACAGTGATTTTTATTGCAATGATCTTAGATTTTCACTGATATAATATGATTATGATGATTCCACTTACCTTAAATAGAATGTACAGTATATACAAAAAAATCCCAAAACCATAGATTGGAATAATCTGCCCCATCAGGCCTCTTCCACTACCTCCTCCTCCAGTGCCTCCACCTGATCCTTTGGCTTTTGCAAATGCCTCTCCAAGGTGAGACCTCTGGAAACGAGCCCCAGGGGTCTGGCCATCTGAGGATGCCTGGTGATGGTGCATCATAGGAGGAAATCGGCCCAACTTTCCTGAGAAAATAAATTAATCAGTCTTTATCTCTTCCATTATTTCAAATATGGCTACTATGAAAACACCTCATGCATCGAGGTACAAATCACAAGCCAACTCAGACAAGTTTAAGAAAAAACAGGAACTTGCTTAAAAGGATATAGAGGCATCACACAGGCACTAAATATGGTATGATAATCTCTAGCTGTCTACCAAATCCATTTTCTCTTTCTTCTGGGTCCATAGCTAGACCACATTTTTCAGCCTCCCATATAGTTAAATGCAGCCATGTGACTGAGTTCTAGCCAAAGGAATGTGAGTGATTGAGCTAGTTCAAGGCCTGGCCTATTAAGCCTCCCATGTATTCAACTCCATGATTATCTCCCTTCCACAGGAAGGATGCTGACACCAGGGGACCCTGGAAGCCATGCGTTGAAAATGGCAGGGCCACCATCAACCTGGGTTCCTGAATAACTATGTGGTGCAGAAGCCCTCCAGTGCAGCCACCCCACTAACTGAGAGCTATCTAGACCTGTTTTTATGAGTGAGAAATAAACTTCTAATGTGTTAGGACCATTATACACTTTGGTGTCTGTCACCGCAGGTAGCCACCCCTAACTAATACAGATAAGGAAACAGTAACATGGTCTCAGGAGAGAATAGAACCAGAAACTGGGAAGCCTTCAGGGTCTGGGACAGCTAATTTCACATTGCAGCTCAATCTCTCTCCTTCTCTATGGAGCCATAAGCCTTTTTTCTTTGTTTCTCTGTACATATTTTCTTCATTCTCCTTTCTCTGCAAACAATTTCTCTAGCTTCTTTGTGCACACAGTGGAAGACAGTCACCCCAAAACCCCTCAATTTGCATGTATTTCAAGAGGATAGCTGAGACTGGTCCTAATTCCAAATTCCTTGGAATAAGTCTTTGAGTACTCAGCTTAGGTTGGTATGCATCCCTTTCTAGTCAGCTATAGCCAAGCAGACAGGATTCATGTACTACTGTACAAACAGGGTCAACCTTGTGAGTGGAACATAGGAGTTAGAAACAGAGGAGTGCATCCATTTTCTTGCATTTTTTTCCTTTATCAAGAGCAGCCAAAAGTTAACACCAAACACCAAGCCTCCTGAGAGACAGAGGTGAGAAAGGAAAGATATCTCTTCAAAAGGCCATGTAAACATGCTTGTATAAAAAACCACTGGGATAAAACACTGTAGAGCAGAAAGCCTTCAAAAATAAGACTCTAAAAACACAAACTATAAAGTAAAAAATTGTTGGCTTTGACTTCAACAAAGGCAAAGATTTCTGTTCAGTAAAGAACACCATAAACAGAACTAAAAGAGATGAAACACAGGAAAAGATTTTACAACATCTAAAACTGATGAGGGATTAAATATCTATAATATACAAGGAGAGCCTATAATTCAATATGAATGTCACAGGAAACCCAATAGAAAAATGATCAAAAGATACAAGTAGGGAACTTACAGAAAGGGTAACATAAATGGCTAATAAGTATATAAAGAGATGATTAAGTTCAAAGTAAAACCAATGACTAAAATACAAATTAAAACAATAAGATAGTACCCATCAGAAAGGCAAAAATAAGAATGGTGGGTAATGGCAAGAGTTGGTGAAGGTGTGGGGAGGCAAGAATTCTCATGCACTGTGGTTAAGAGTGTAAACTGACAGAGCCAATCTGCTAAGAGATCTGGCTATACTTAGTGACATTAAGTAGACTGGTGATTAAGTATGTACAGGCCCTATGATCCAGTGATCCCACGCTGGTGGATAAATCCCAGAGAAATTCTCAAATAAGGTATACATATGCAAATTACAGACTTCACAGACCTGTATGAGAATGTGCATGTGATGACTGTAGCAAGGAGGTTAAAGTAACTCTGATTTCCATAACCAGAAGAATGGAAAATCATAACAGAATGGATACAAATATGGAGGCCCATGTAGTTTTTAGAAACCACTCTTTAGATGTACCTACAACATGAATACATCTTAAAAAGCACAGCATTGAGTTAAAAAAAAAAAAAGCAAATACCATTATGAAAGCTGAACACACACATCTATATTATATATCTTTCAAGCAAATACTGAATACATCTTAAAAAGCACAGCATTGAGTTAAAAAAAAAAAGAGCAAATACCATTATGAAAGCTGAACACACACATCTATATTATATATCTTTCAAGCAAATACTTGTATGTAGGTATAAAGACAAAAAAAACATGTTAGAGTGGGTGCATATCAGTGGGGAAGGGAATGGGCATGTGGATTGAGGATAGCAGGATAAAAATAAAAGAACAAAACAAGAAAGGAACCTTGCACTGATAAAGTTAATAAAGTGCTATGAACTGAGGACTATCTTTAAGTCAACTGTCTGCTTCTGAGGTACAAAAGAAAGAGGCAGGCAGGGAGGTTAACACAGCTAGCTACTGGGCTTAGAAGCTGCCTTCTGCCTTGTATCTTTTCTCAGCCAAGCCCCACTCTAATAATTCTCCTTTCCCTCCCAGCACTGACTTTGGATGACATGGAAATTATGGGAAGAAATGCTTCTTTTAAAGAACAGATCAGCAACAGAAGCACAGCTTTAGACAGTAAAAGAAGGAAAAGACCAGGTCACCATCCTTTACTCTGGGTGCCGGTGACTATGTCTCTTTTAAATTGTCAAGGATCTTAATATATTAAATGGTAAGAACTGGCTTTAAAGCTACTATGCACCTTCAAAAAAAACCTGACTAGCCGGCATCCAGGAAGCTAACCTTTCTCTTGAGAGAATGTGATATATCAGGTGGCTAGTGTTCAATAAACTAGATTTAATATTTGTAATAACATGTTGTTAAACTTCATTTTACTGTGCTGAGAACACCGTCTTCAAAACCAGGCATAAAACAAAAAATAAAAAATTAAAACCAAGTAATGATATAAAAGGTATGATTTTACATGTCTAAAATTGAAGAATGATGATGCTAACTACTACACACCTCCCCCCCCAAATTTTATAGTTCTGTCAGCCAGGAGGATTTACTGGATACCTGTTATGTTCAGGACTCTGCCAAAGGTAGGTAAGGAAGACGGCCATAAAGGAAATAGAAACAATAGTTCCCACATGGAACAATGTTTTTAAAAAGCAGTATATCCAAAACAAAGACACAAACAATAGCAGCAGCAGATATCATGGAGCTTATTACTAGATGAACTAAATGTGTATGTATTAAAAGGAAACAAAACTATGAAAAAATTTTTTAAAAAGAGGAAAGTAGTCAAATGATGAGAATGAGAGACTCAAGACAGCAAAAAATCTGCAAAGGCACACCGGAGGAAAGAAGAGTGTTTGTGATGAGAAAGAGATTAAGAACAAAAAACCCATTAAATAGGGCTAACTATCAAATTGGTTTGTCTCCATATAGGGAAATAACAAGAGATAAGGAGAAAGAAATGGAGATTGGGAGGAATTTAAAGGCTAACTTGTGTATTGCATGAATTTGATACTGCAGACCTTGGATCAGGGGAATGACTTAATGAGAGGGTGTTTTGGGGGACTAATCTAACAGTTGAATATAGGGCCTAATACAGAGAGAAAACGGGAAAACAGCTTATTTGCTGGGAAAACAGCAGTAAGGCTATTACGGGTTAGCTCTAAGATGCAAGTGCCTGACGTGGTGGCTATAGGTATAAAAAGGAAAGAATACGTCCAAGGGCTATTACTATGTAATTAGCAGCAGCATTTAATACTGAACCAAATATAGAGCTAATGGGAATCAGAAAACTCCAAGATCAAGAGTTTAAGATACTAAGAGAAGATAATGAAGAAACGGGGAGAGCTTTTGGTTAAGAAGTACACATTTTAAACACATCATATTCCAAGTGCTGGTGGAATACAGAGAAAATTTTATTAGACTGCAGTTAGGTTTGAGAAGAAACTATAAGTTACCTAAATGACAAACCTAATTAAAATCGAGTAAGAGAATCATTCCCAATACCACAAAGGATGGAGGAATATGTGTACTTACATGTAAAAAAGAAAAGAAAAATTAGCTGGTTGAAAATGAGCAGAAGCAAACCAGTATCATAAAAGTCAGAGGACCGAATTGAAAGCAACAGAGAAGGCTAGAAGAAGAAACCAATAAAAGACTAATGGCAGTCCCTGTTTTTAGACACAATATATTCTTAAGAAATCTATGGCCATCACATGAAATCCTGACTGTTCACCTGTTTAGACAATAACAGAAACCAAAGTACAAGAAAGCACCATAGAATCTTCAGAATCAGAAAGAGCTTTAAAAGTCATCTAGTCTTTCAACAAATAGTGTGGACAACAAGATATTCACATGTAAATGAATGAAATTAGACACTGATCTCACACCATATACAAAAAATTAACTCAAAATGGATTAAACACCTAAATGTAAGAGCTAAACTTTTAAAATCTTAGCAGAAAACATAGACATAAATTTTTGTGACTTTGGATTAGGCAATAGTTTCTTAGATATGACAGCAAAAAAAAGTAGGTAAATTTGACTTAGCCAAAATTTAAAACGTTTGTGCTGCAAAGGACATCATCAAGAAAGTGAAGACAACCCACTGAATGGGAGAAAATATTTGCAAATCATATATTTGATAAGGGTTAGTATCCAAAATATAAAAAGACAACGCAATTAAAAATAGCCAAAAGATCTGAATAGACATTTCTCCAAAGAAGACATACAAATAGCCAATAAGCACATAAAAAATGTTCAACATCATTCACTACCAAGGAAATGCAAATCAAACTCACAATGAGATACTACTTCACACCCACTAGGATGGCGATAATTGAAAAGAGAGATAATAAAAAGTGTTGGAGGAATGTAGAGAAAATGGAACCCTCACACTGGTAGGAATGTAAAATAGGGCAGCCACTTTAGAAAACGGTCTGGCAATTCCTCAAAAGGCTAAACACAGAGTAACCTATATGACCCAGGAATTCCACTCTCAGTTATATACCCAAGAAGAATATGCTCACA